GGCCTGAACTTTGGGCCTGGGCACTGTCCCTCAGTTCTTCAGCTCAAGGCTAGCGCTCTACCACTTGAGCCACAGCGCCACTTCCGGCTTTTTTCTTTTTTGCTTATGTGGTGCTGAGGAATTGAACCCAGGTCCACTTTTTACTGTGAAAACTTAAAATGTTTGGGAAAATTGGGAGAATAGTACAATAGACATTTTATGTGCCTCATAACCACTAACAGCAACCAAAGATTATTCCTACATACATCCCACAAACTATTGAACATTTGTTGTTGATATCAGTTCTCAAGTATTTAAACTTATATCTCCTAGCTGTGTGCTGTTGGCTCACATCTGTAATCCTAGCTATTTATTCAGGAGGCTGAGATCTGAGGATTGGATTCAAAGCCAGCCTGAGCAGACAAATCTGAGACTCTTATCTAACCAGCAAAAAGCCAAAAGTGGAGCTGTGGCTCAAGTGGTAGAGTGCCAGCCTTGGACAAAAAAGCTAAGGGACAGCACCCAGTCTCCGAGTTCAAGACCCAGTATTGGCTCACATGTGTGTGCATACATATACACACCTTGTATCTTCTAAGATGTAGGACATCCCCTTATATAGCTATAATCCCATCATACTTAAGATTTAATGGTGAATAAAATATTACCATGATAACCTGTATTCAGATTTTCTTTATTATCTTTATGTTGCTCCCCCCCCCCCTCAGTACGGGGGTTTGAACTCAGGGCTTCATGCTTGCTAGTCAGGCACTGTATTACTGCTAAGCCATGCTTCTGTCTGTTTTCTGCTGCTGTTTTTAAGGTAGCGTTTCACTTCAGCTGTTTTTAGGACTGCCAACTACCTATTTTACACTTGCTGTCATTTCCGGAATGACAGATGTGTGCACCTCTGTTGAGAGGGTGCTGCCTGGGCTGACCTGGCTCTCCTGTTCTCAGCCTTCCAAGTAGTCTGGAATTACAGGTGTGAGCCATAACACCTGGCTCTAATATTGCTTTTCAGTAACCTCTTTTCCACTTTGAGGGATCAAGAGAATCAGGATCTCCAATTAGGGATGATGCTTTATACATAATTGTCGGGCACTTTGTTCTCCCCACCCAGTGTTCTCCCCACCCTGACTGCTGAGCCACACTCAGTCTACTCCTTAGTCTGTGACACTGACATTTTTGAAGAGCTCAGACCTGTTGTTTTACTGAACATCCCTGAACTTCAGTTTGTCTAGTTGTTTCCTAATGAAAAGACAAGTTAAACCTTTTGGCAGCAGCCCAACATAGGGGAAGAGTGTCCTTGGTGTCTGATACATGCTGGTTCTGCTTTTTGTGGTTGTTGTTGTTGTCAGTTGTGGGGCTTGAACTTGGCATGGGTGCTGTCCCTGAGCTTTGTTTGCTCAAGGTTAGCACTCTACCACTTTGAGCCACAGTGCCACTTCCAGTTTTCTATTGGTTAATTGGAGATAAGAGTCTCATGGACTTTGCTGCTGGGACTGGCTTTGAACAGTAATCCTCAGATCTCAGCCTCCTAAGTAGCTAGGATTACAGGTGTGAGCCATCAGTGTCCAGCTTGCTGGTTCTGCTTTGGTGACAGTTTTGAGACTTCCTTAGCATAATGCCAGTCGAAGTTCTTGGGTCTGTCATGAGAGTGTTCTTCTCCATGGGAGAAGCCCATGGCCTCATCGCTGTCCAATAGCTGAACTCGGGTCAGACTGAAACAACAAGGAACAGCAAGAGTTGACATCTGGGGTCTCACTGGCAGTAGGCTCTGCTGCCTGCCTCTACCACCAGGAGTGGGGCCCAAGGAACAAGGTTTGATAAGCAGGGCTGTCCATGTCTGGTTATCTGTGGTCCCAGTGGGGCTGTATGGCTCCCCAGCAGGGGCCAGGTGTGTTGCTTTCCTTCAGGAAAACTGACAGGCCTTGATGACCAGCTCTTTGCAGAGTTCAGCTCCAAGCCTGCTTTTCTACTAGCTCCATGTTCCTCCTTCTCTCTTCTCTCTTCTCCTCTGCCCTCTCTTTTACCCTGCCAGCACCAGTCATCATTGGCTAGCAGTCTACCACCTGAGCCATGCCTCTAACACCTGTTTTCTTGCTTTTAAACTTTTTTCCCCTCCCCTCCCCTCTCCTCCTTTTCTTTTCGTTGAGGCACTGGGCAACCAGGCTGCTGAGGTCAGATCTGAGTCCAAATCTAGGAAATTACTTATTATCTCTGTGCCTCAGTCTCCCCATCCTCTCATCCTTTGTGTGGGGACTGCGTGGGTCTCTATGTGCAGGACTGGCACATGGTAAGCATTGTCAACACTGGTCCTCATTATTACCATTTTGTGTTTATTCTCTGGCTCATGCTGGGTCCTGGGACCACAGAAAGTCACACTGTACCTTAAGAAGGTTCTGCTTTTGGCCAGGGTTACCATTGGCCTCTCACAGATAACTGACAGGAATCTGAGCTGCAGAGGGCCAGGCCACTGCAGCTGTCACTACCCCATGGAGGAGACACTGAATAGAAAAACCCCTCCTGTGGAAAGTGGTCAGTGTGGGTGTGGTTTGGGATGTCAGAAGTAGGCCTTATTTGAATGGACATTTAGGCTGTTTCCTCTGCATGATGGTACTCTTAAGAACTTCTGGTTTAAGTAATTTCTCAGTCTTCACCTTGACAGAGCTTCCTGGGCAGTGACTAGAGCAGGAGTCCACACCCTCCTAGGGTGGTGTTCCAGGAAAGGAGCCACGCCTCAGAGGTTGGAGTTGGTCAGGTAGGCTGTGGACTGGGAGATCTGGTGTCTCTGTCCACAGCCATTCCCAAGGCCGGGAGTACAGCTGACAATGTCTTTTGTTTACAGATGACCTCATCCCACCTCTGGACTTGCTAGAAATGATTGTCCACTGGATATTTGAGGACCCAAGGTTGATCCTCATCACTTTCTTAAATACTCCGATTGCAGCCAATCTCCCGATAGGATTTTTAGAGCTCACGCCCCTCATTGGGCTGATCCGCTGGTGCGTGAAGGCCCCCCTGGCTTACAAAAGGAAGAAGAAGCCCTGTTTGTCTAACGGGCATGTCAGTAGCAAGGTTGCCAAGGACCCGGGCGTGGGGCTGGATCGCGACGCGCACCTCCTGTACTCCAAACTCCACCTCAGTGTCCTGCAAGTCCTCATGACACTGCAGCTGCACTTGACTGAGAAGAATCTCTATGGGCGCCTGGGGCTCATTCTCTTTGACCACATGGTCCCGTTGGTGGAGGAGATCAATAGGCTCGCGGATGAACTGAACCCCCTCAACGCCTCCCAGGAAATTGAGCTCTCACTGGACCGGCTGGCACAAGCTTTGCAGGTGGCCATGGCCTCTGGAGCTCTGCTGTGCACCAGAGGTGGGTCCTCCCCCTGCCCTGCAGGCCTCCTGGAATTGCAATAACTCTGCCCAGGCAGAGAGAAAATAGACCCCCTAGATAGATACTGGGGGCAGGGCTCACCCCCCTCAGGTCCTACCATGCTGTACCAGGCACCGCCTGGCTCTTTGTCCCAGACTCTTTGGGGACTCTTGGAGAACATAGGAGTTTTTTCCCCTTGAGCGGTTATCTTTTCCTATTATCCTTTCTTCGGTTTACATACAGTAAAAGGTGACGTGTTTGGTGAAACATTTACACTTAAACACTGCCCACTTAGGCATACCTTCCTACCTCCTGATTTGAGGAATTCTAGTGCCTCTGCATTCTGGTGCTCACAGTCCACCCTGGGAGTGGCCTGCTGCTTGGCTGTTTGCTCTGTCAGTGTTGATTTGCTCAAGGTCACCATGGCACCACCAGTGGTGAGTTTTCTTTTTTTTGCGGGGGGGGGGGGTGTCCGGTCGTGGGCCTGAACTCTGGGCCTGGGCGTTGTTCCTCAGTTCTTCAGCTCAAGGCTAGCTCTCTACCACTTGAGCCACAGTGCCACTTCCAGCTTTTTTTTTCTGCTTATGTGGTGCTGAGGAATCGAACCCAGGGCCTCATGCATGCAAGGCAAGTACTCTACCACTGAGCCACCTTCCCAACCCCCACTGGTGAGTTTTCTGTCTTACCGCACTGCTGCTCCTGAACCACCTTGTATGGTTTATTGCTCAGTACAGCCTTGCCCTGGCTCTTTTGCAGCCACTTGACAAGCATCAGCAAATCTGCTCCCTTCTGAGTAGCTTCTACTCTTGTGGGCCAGTTTGTTAAAGCAAGAATGGGAGAAAGGAGAAGCCAGTTTCAAAAGGATGCCGAGAACATGTAGCTCTCTTGCCAGCATCCTTGAGAAGTTTCAGCAGAGTTCACCTGTCTGCAGTCTGTTGCTTAATCATGTGTTTCCTTATTTCAGATGACCTGCGAACGCTGTGCTCCAGGCTGCCCCATAACAAGTAGGTGCCCTGGGAGGCCTGCAGTGGGGCCAGCAGCACGGGGGGCGGGTGGGGGGGGGAGACAGAGCAAGTGTCCGTTGGGGCAGACTCCTCCATCCTGATGTTTTAGCCAGGTGGTCTGCAAGGGCTTCAGTACCTGCAAAGTAGGAGGCAGAAGTGCTCGTGTGACCCTTGTGTGGGGAGTCCTAGGCAGAGTATAAACTTGGAGACTAGTATCTGGCTGGAAGTAGAGAAGGCAGCAGAGTGTGCTCCCCATGTCAGGGCAGGTCCTGCTGGAGCTCTGGGGAGAAACAGAGGGCCACCGACCTAGAGGCACGAATTGGTCATATCCGTGCTAAGGCCTCTGGCCATAGGAACCTGGTTTCTGAGCAGTGCCCCGCTCTGCTTTGCTGTGACGTTGGGGTGGGCTCACTGTCTCCCAGCCTTGACTTCTGCTGGTGAAGAGGAATACCAGTCTGCCCTCCCATGGTCTGTGCTAAAGTGGAGTGGAGTTCTCATCCCTCTCCCCAATCACACTCATTGTGGGAAAAGCAGGAAGTGTCACTCACATTCTAGAGTCCTGTCCCTGCGGCAAGTCCTCTGCCTCCTGTGATGTGTGTCTTCCTTTGAAAAACCAAGAGAATTCTGGTTTTACTTTGGGAATCTTGGCCTTAGCCACCCACCCACCTGCCAGAGGGTTTTGTGAGTGGGATGAGAAAAAGCACAGGAAGTCCTTAGATGGGTGTGAGCCAGGTGTGTGGGGTCTAGTCAATGTGCACTGCTGCTCACTTCGGAGCTTAGGGTGTCATGTCTGTGAAGCTATCCTTAGAAAAGAGGTCAAAGGTGTGCACAGAACTGTCTCATGCAAACCACTCAGTCTAAGAACCCAAGTCTTGGGAGAATTGGTAAGTGAGCCTTGTGCCTCTGAAAGGTAGAGTATTACATAGCCACTAAAAAACAGCAATTGTGCCAAACGCTGTTGGCTCGCACCTAGCTACTCAGGAGGTTGAGCTCTGAAGGCTCATGGTTCAAAGCCAGCGTAGACAGGAAAGTCTGGGAAAGTCTGTGAGACTCTTATCTTCAGTGAATCACCAAAAAAGCCCAAAGTGGTGCTGTGGCTCAATGGTAGAGCAATAGCCCTGAGTTCAAGCCCCAGGACAGGCACTTAAAAAAAAGAAAGAAAGGAATTGTGACCCCCTACACACAAGGGGACATTTCCATGGCAGGGTTTGCAGAAGTGAACTAGAGGGCAAGGCAGTAGCTCTCTTAGGAAGTTTCTCATTCAAAGAACCCAGCATTGGAGACTCACCGAGTTCAGGAAGGAGCATCCCTAAAAGTAGAGGGTAAAGAAAGATGGGCGAAGGCTAAGGCCCTGGGTAGGGAAGATGGCACTGGGGTGCTGTAGGCCTGGTGTGGAGAACTGGGAAAAAGAAGGGCTACAGTTTCCCAAGGTGGGTCTTTTTATTTTTTTTGGTTAGTCATGGGGCCTGAACTCTGGGCCTGAGCGTTGTCCCTCAGCTCTTCAGCTCAAGGCTAGCGCTCTACCACTTGAGCCACAGTGCCATTTCTGGCTTTTTCCGCTTATGTGTGCTGAGGAATTGAACCCAGGGCCTCATGCATGCAAGGCAAGCGCTCTACCACTAAGCCACCTTCCCAGCCCCCCAAGGTGGGTCTTGACCAGTGGGCTGTTCAGGTTGGTGGAGGCTGTGGTTCAGACCTAGGTTGTATCCAAGGAAGCTGTACATGGTCTATTTCGAGATCATTTGGAAGGCCAACTTCTGTGAGGCGTATGGGTAGAGTCCATTCAGGACTGAGGCATGAAGAGTTAGTGAAACTACCTGCTGTCCTCACTGCCATGGTATGCACTGTTGTGCAGTCTACATAGGTGCAGAGACAGCTGAGCTGAAACTGGCCAATGTGTGGTGGGCCTCAATCCCCTGGGGCTGCAGAATCCAGTGGGAGCTTCCACAGGGCCCATGGCCCAGGGTATAGACCTGCTCTTCATGTTCATTGCGGGGGTTCGTGGCTTTGCCCTTGGCTCTGTCCAGCCCTGGAGCTAAAGCCTGTCACCTCTTCCTCCTTCCTTGTGCCTCCATCCATGCCTTTCCTGGTCCGTGGGTGAGTGCCACCATTTCCAGCTGCCAGGTGCACTGGGACAGAGCAGGCCCCATAGGTCACAGAATGGTTGGAGTTGGCATCCTCACCCCTGTCCTTGTGCTTGCAGCCTCCTCCAGCTGGTGATCTCAGGCCCTGTGCAGCAGTCGCCACATGCAGCTCTCCCTCCTGGCTTCTATCCACATATTCACACGCCCCCGCTGGGCTACGGGCCTGTGCCAGCCCACCCTGCCGCCCACCCTGCGCTGCCCACGCACCCCGGGCACACCTTCATCTCAGGCGTGACCTTCCCATTCAGGCCCATCCGCTAGACCGGGCCTGTGCACCGCAGGGCGGTGGTGGTGTGCCTTCCCGCCTGGACCAAGGACGCCTTCAGAGCCAAAGGGGTGCTGGCCCCAGAGGGGCTTCAGGAAGCAGCAGGCAGAAGTCCTGAGTCACTCAAGTCCAGGTGCCTCTTGGTCATATTAAACATCCAGATTGGATGAATGAAAGGGAGGCATGCAGCTCTCTGCCGAGTGCCTGCATGGTTGTGTGCCAGTTCCCAGCCCTGGGGACCCCAGTGGGGAAGCCACTCTACCAGCTCTGCCAGTCCCACTCCTGGCCTCGCTCCTCAGGACGTGATGCCCGCAGGCAGCTCCGGGAGTTCAGCTGGAACGGCCCCAGCTCGCTGCAGCTCCGGCACTGCTCAGGGACACCGGCGGTGCTTCCCGCCACCTCGGGAAGAAACTTGTTTTATTGGGAGTCTCCAAATTTTCCTTTCATATGATCAAATACATTTTTTCTAAACAGTTTTATAGACTTTATGGATTCTTTATTTGTGCTGGAGCTGAAATCCAGGGCCTTGCCCACACTAAGTGAGCTCTCTGCCATCAAGCTACCCCAGCCTTGCAGAGTGGATTTGAACAACATCATATATGTGCTTATGCTGCCTGCTAAGGAGAGGTAGCAGGTGGTGACAGAAATGTAGTCCTGGGTCCTTGCCCCACCTGCTCAGGTCCTGGTTCTTTGTTGCCCCAGCACAGAGGTCCCCCTCAGGAGGGATTTTCTAGAATGGCATTGGAAGGTACCTGCTTTAACTTCTCATTAGTTAGGGGATGGGGAGTGGCCATGTCACTGGCACCCCTGGCCTGTAGGTGACTGGTGACAGATGCTAACCGCAGCCATTGCAGCCTGACCAGACTGAGGTTAGATATGTGACCTTGTCACGCTTCTGTTCCTGGTGGCCTAATGGCCGTGTGTGTCCATGGTCAAGAATGGAGGCTGGGCTGCATATAGGGCTGGCCTTCTGTGGAAGGGCTTGTGTTCCTTCTCCTGGATGAGAGCCCACAGCTTCCTCATGGCCTGGATTGCAGCCAGAGCATGCACAGAAAAGCCAGACTTGACAGTGAAGTCCATCAGAAATCTTTATTTTCAAACTAAACAGCAATATGGCTGGGGTATGACTCAAGTAGCTTAGCAAGCTCAGGACTCTGTTCAAGCCCCAGTATTACCCAAGAGTGGAAAAACAAAACAAAAACAAAATAAGTATAAAGGCCATTTTGAGTTTAAGCTGGTAATCCCTGCTTCAGCAAGTTCTATGTTTATGGGCTGATGTCAAATGAAGAGCTCTCAGCTCTTCCCAGATGCACATCTTGGCACTATGAGATCAGCCCCAGGACAGAGTGTTTCAGCAATGATCCAAAGTCAGCTCTCTTGTCACCACCTACTTCCACCTCAGCAGTGTTGGGTGGTGGCGGCTCATACCTGTAATCCTACCTACTCAGAAGGCTGAGATCCAGAGGATCACAGTTTGAAGCCAGCATGGCAAAAAGCAGGGGTGGAGTTGTGTTCAAGTGGTAGGTTCTTTCCATTGTGAGAGAGTCAGATTTTCCTTTCTTTTTTTTTGTTTTT